TGGCTAAAGATTTCATGGCACAAAAAAGGTTTTTCTCAGTAGCTTCTTTATGGTGAAAAATTGCAAAATCCTAGTAGGCCTACAAAAACAGAATATCGCATTGTCTGCTTTTTGGGGTGTCCCCTGTAATTCCTCAGAAAAGCTGATAATCGACCTCTTTCTATACAGTTACAGTTACATGTTTCACTCTGTTTTTTTTATTTTTTCAAAATACTACATGTACATTTTTTTCCGTTCCAAGAATAAATATTCTCAAACTTCTCAAATATATTTCTCAAATATTTTTTTTTTAATATCGGCAATATTGTACGGTGTGACAGGAATGGTAGTCCACTAGGAACTGTACATGTAGTCCGTTCCCCCTTACTTTATACAGGTGACGTTCTTTCCAAATACTAACCCCAATACTCCCACTAACCCTAACCTGAAGTTATATGGGACCCGGACTTCCATTCCCAGGAATACCATTCCTGTCACACCGGCATTGCATATTTGGACTAGAATTTTGTCTTGAATGCTACATGACTTCTATTTAATCACAACTTTTACGTCCCAGAATTAATATCGTGAAATAATATAACGTGAAATTCTGTCGATGTAAATTGGAAAAAAACTTGAGAATATAAAGAACATGGCGTGTTTTCCATCTGTACTAAAAGAAAAGAGGATGTTAAGATTATTTGAAAATGTATCCACCCTTCTAAAATGTATATTCTTAGGCAAATCTCTCTCTCTCTTTCTGGTTGTGTGTGTTTTGTGTGTTCATAAATTGGTTCAAGAGCTCAAGAAATAGATCCCTACTTTTTTGTCGTCTAATAACACAATGATGGAAGATAGCGTGATAGAATTGAAATTTGAAAAGATTTATATCCAAAAAGGTTACCTATTTGAAAGAACTTCCATATTAAAAAGTAAGTAGAGAATTGAGGGGGATATGTCGGAATATACAATACAACCAATCAAAGTATACTCCTTTGTCACAGATAACACGTACACTACATTCCACATTGATTAGGATTTACATGAATATTGGTTATATTTTTTAAAAATAATGGCATGGTCTTGTATGAGGAATATTGGAGAAATGCTCGTGGGTTAATGGCTTGACCAAATTGACTCAGGTCAGCTTTCTTGAAATGCGAAATATATGCAGTAACATGTATTTCTCTGTCAAAGTTACACGTACAAATAAGCAGACGCTTTGTAATTGTAGTTTACAAAAAACAGCGCCAGGCTATTCATGAAAATAGGATATCATGAAAACCGGTTAGTTAAAGATTTGAATTTCATTTATGGTAGGAATGAATGTTTCAAGCCAAAACGGTAAGTTGAAAATGAGATAGTTCACCTCTATTTGCGCTTGATCTAATTTTTCTGTGATAATTTCGATGCAAATATGCCAGTGGTGTTTAAAGCCTAAAATAGACTGAAAGCTACCTGCAGAGCTACTACAAGATATATTCATTACCTTCGGACGGATACGAGAAACCCTACAATGTGAATGTATGGGATAGAACCCCGAGTAAGGAAAAATAATGAAAAAGCAGACGAAAATTATTGAGTAATCAGGTATCATTGCATCACTTTCATGATTAAAATATGAGACAGATCAGTTGAGAGCTACTACAAAATATACTAATTAATCTCGGAAGGATACGAGAAACCATACACTGTGAATGTATTGGATAGAACCCTGAGTTAGGAAAAATAATGACATTGCAGACAAAAATGGTTGAGTAATCAGGCATCATTGCATCATTTTCTTGATTAAAACATTTCATGTTCACAATTTTTGTGACATAAGAATGAAAATACAGGGACTATTTATAACATAAAGACAAATCGTTCTACAATTTCGTGGCAGTTGAAGGTTATAAGACGGACAGTTAGTGCCAGTTCATCACATAATCACTTTATTCACATAATATTGTTGAAGACCTGGGGAAAGCCGAAAAATGGCGGATTTTGTTGCGAAAATTATTCTAGTGCTTGCCAAGCATCAACTTATTCACAGGTACCTATAGCTGTTGCGCCCAATGATCCATAACACAACTAATTTACTCCCATACAGTTAATGAATAAATTCATTTGTTTTTTATTTTAGGTATTTAGACGCTTCAGCTGACTGCCAACCTATCAGTTTTCGAACTGAAAAAAAAGGGAAAGCGTTTTTAAGACGAAGTTAGCTGCTACAAACATATCTTGTACATGTCTAATAACAATTTGTCTTTATGTTACTCTTTAAAAAAAAGGAATATTCAGGATAACAAACAACGAACTTTGCAAACACAGCATTAATATAAAATTCAATTCGACCAAGTATTATTTCTGAGACAATCATTGGAAAGACATTTTTAAAAAAGCACAATTTTATTTATAAGGTAATTTTTTTATTTGCAATCAAATATTCTCTTTATAAAAAAATCATATGGATAAACGTTTCAGCTGTTCATCTTATTGTAACAAAGGATTCCACACCTGAAGAATTGTCATGATGGCATGACCAAGTGTCAATTCAAAATTGAAAATTACTTTTATCAACCTAGAGGGCAATTTCCCCCGAAATGATCAAGAACATTTAGACTTAAAAACAATATTGCCTGTTTTGAATATGAAGCCGTCAGCTGCGTCTGTTGTCGCCGTCGTCAGTTTGATAGGACCATTACTAAAGTTATGCTGTTTCTTTTCAACATATTTTATCCATTGTTATACAGATTAAATGAAAACGGTGTCATATTTTGCTTTAAAACTTGCAGGACTGACTCATAGGACTAATATACAGATCAAGTTTGGAATTATAAGCTAGTTTGGTTCAGTTTTGATGAAGTTATGCCTTTTTTGTATACTAGTGGTTTTACCTCAGATTCAATTTTTAGGCAGGTGAACAGTCTCATTACTGAACTAATTTGATACTTAGAAGTATTCTTTTGACATTTTCTGCATCTTTACGATATTTTTAGTTGATAATAGAAAAATGATGGTAAACCTATTATCCTGTATTGTGTAATAAAGTGTCAAAAATGGAAATAAACTCATATCATTGCAGTTTGTCAGATTCAATCCTTTACTTTGTTCAGAATATCAGAATGGGGGGCATTGGACATTTGAAATTGATATGTCCCCCATCTCAAAAACTTTCTTAGTTTATAATGTACAAATGGCAATAAACTGGTTATTTTGTTTAATGTTCAAAAGTGTTGAAAAGGAAAATAGACTCATTTCAGTACAATTATCTCATTTACATTTGGGCATTTTCAAGGTGTAACTTTAAAGTTCCACGGGCCTGAAGACCTTGCCAGTCATTTTCTAAATATTCATGTTACTTGCAGAGCATAATTAAAGATTGATGAAGATTATGCTGTTAAGAATTATGTAATAAGGCATCAAAATTGAAAACGCTATTTTGGGCACTGTTGCCATAGTGACCATTTAAGGAAAACCACGTCACCTACTCTTCGCAAACTTATATTTGAAAAAAACATTCTGATTGGTTATTATTATTATTACATTTTTTTGGGGGGGGGGGGGGGGGGAGGGG